TCGTGCGAGGACGGGGGTGGTGGGGCGTGGGGGGAGCCCGGCTGGGGGGCCCGGCTCAGTGCGCTCTGCTCTGCAGGCCGGGACGGGGCGTGTCACGGAGTCCCCAGGCAATGCTCTGGAACTGCTCCCCACAAAGCCAGTCAGGACTTTGGGGAGCCTCCTCTCCCTCGGAGCAGACTGTCTTCAGGGCAAGAAGCTCACACGGCTTCACCTCCTGGGTCTGACCTTGGAGCATTCAGCATATGCCCCTCCGTGCACTTCCCACAGCGAGTTCGCCCTGGCGGGGTCCTGGGGAAGCCACAGGGTCCTGCACCCCCCACTTCGCAGTCGGACGTGACTCTCAGCCAGCCAGTAACACAGAGGTTTATTAGATGACAGGAACATGGTCTAAAACAGAGCTTGTAGGTACAGAGAACAGGACCCCTCGGCCGGGTCCATTCTGGGGCCCAGCGAGGCAGACCCCCCGTCTGCCCTCACTCCTAGTCCCCAGCTAGCTCCAAACTCCAACCCCCGTCCAGCCCCTCCCTCTCTGGGCTTTGTCTCTTTCCTGGGCCAGGAGGTCACCTGACCCCTTTGTCTCCAACACCTTCAGTGGGCACCTTTGCAGAGGAGGGGCCCAGGCCATCAGTTGCTAGGAGACAGAGTGTCGGGCATTTATGTACCCTGGCCCTTTGCTCTGCAGCAACCATACACCCTCATCCCACCACCTAGACACTTAAAACTGCATAGGGGAAACTGAGGAAAACATAAGAACAGTCCCACTTCGTCACAGAGGGGCTGGGGGGGGTCCCGGCTCAGTGCTCTGCTCTGCAGGCTGGGGGTGTGGGGGGGGGCTGGGGGGGAGCCCGGCTGCGGGGGGCCCGGCTCAGTGCTCTGCTCTGCAGGCTGGGGGTGGGGGGCTGGGGGGAGCCCGGCTGCGGGGGGCCCGGCTCAGTGCGCTCTGCTCTGCAGGCCGGGGAGATGCGGAGAAGGTGAAGCAGCTGGAGGAGAAGGTGCAGACCCTGAGCAAGCGGCTGGAGGACCTGCAGGCCACCGCGGAGAAGCTGCTGCAGGAGGGGAGCAAGGCGGTGGAGCTCTCGCTCAATGGGAAGCAGTTGGCCGATGCGGCCGCCCAGCCCGAGATGAAGGAGACCCTCAACCAGATCCAGAGGCACCTGCAGCACCTGGACAACCGCATCTCCAGCCACGACGCCGAGCTGACCAACCTGAGCAACGGGCAGGGGCCGGGGGCCCCGCAGGGAGGGGCGCTGCTCCTGCAGGAGGTGGAGCGGCGGGTGCAGGAGTCCTGCGCTGCCTGCCTGGCGGGCAGCGAGGGGCTGCGGCGGCAGCAGGCCGAGGACCGCGAGCGCATGCGGGGCCTGGAGAAACTCATCAGCTCTGTGGACCAGCGGAACCGGGAGGCGGTGGAGAGCATCCAGAGGCACGTGAGCGCCCTGGCGGGGCGCCTGCCCGCGGAGTGCTGCTCCCAGCTGGACGAGCTGCGCGGCAGGATGGGTGACCTGGAGCGGCGGCTGGACGGCGTCTCTGGCTCCTTCACCATGCTCAACGAGCGCCTGGACCACGAGCTAGCTGGTCTGGAGCCGGCGGGGGCGGGGCGGGGCCGGCTGGTGGAGGTGGAGCGGCGTCTGAACGCCACCCAGCGCAGCCTGGAGGAGCACGACGCCCACCTGCACAGCCAGCTGGCGGGCGAGCTGAGCGGGCGGCTCAGCGGGGCCGAGGGGGAGCTCGCCAATGTGGCCGGCCAGCTGAGCGGCTTCCAGGGCCACGTTCACCAGGCCCTGGCCAACCTGAGCCAGGACGTGGAGACGCTGAAGGACAGCGTGGCTCAGAGTGTGGCTGTGGTGATGGAGCTGCAGGGCCAGGGCTGGCCGCCCCCCACGCCCCACGACCCCTCTCTGGGCAGCCAGGACTCCCAGATCAGCACCATCCTCAGTGACCTGGCGCGCCGGGTGCAGGATAACGAAGGGCAGCTGCGCACCCTGGGCTCCAACCTGCACCAGCTCAGCGGCTCCGGGGTCGGGCTGGCCGGCTCCGTGCGGGCCCTGCAGGCCGAGGGGAAGAAGCTGCGGGAGCTGGTGGGGGCCAACGGGGAGTCACTGGTGCGCCTGGGGGCTGAGATCGGCAAGCTGGAGACCCAGCTGCTGGGCACGGGGGGCAGCGCCACCGACCCTACCGCCAAGGACCTGGCGCTCTTCTTCAACCGCACGGGGGCGCGGCTGGGCCAGCTGGAGGGCGAGCTGCGGGGGCTGAGCGGCTGCAGCCAGGCCTGCGCCGCCCTGCAGGACGAGGTGGGCCGGCTGCGCGGGGAGGTGGCGGCCTGCGCTTGCCCGCTGCTGCCCAGGAAGCCGGAGCAGGGCCGGGAGCCCGTGGAGGCCCACAAGCCCCTGGACGGCTTCAGTGTCTTCGGGGGCACGTCGGCCGTGGACCTGAAGTCGCTGCAGGGCGAGCTGTCCGAGGTGATCCTGAGTTTCAGCTCCCTGAACGACACGCTGCGCGGGCTGCAGAGCACCGTGGACAAGCACCAGACCGACCTCCACGAGCTGGGCTCCACCAAGGACCGCATCATCGCCGAGATCAACAAGGTGCAGGCCGAGGCCACGGAGCGCGCGGCCGAGAGCGAGGAGCGGCTGGAGGGGGTGACGCGCCAGCTGCACCACCTGGGCGGCACCTTGCGGGGCGAGGCTGGGGAGTGCCGGCGCGCGGCCGGCAGCCTGGAGCAGCGGCTGGCCAAGCTGGAGGGCGTCTGCGAGAGGCTGGACACCGTCTCCGGCAGCCTGCGCAAGGTCAAGGAGGGGCTGAGCAAGCACGTGACGGGGCTGTGGGGCTGCCTGCAGGAGGTGAACGGCACCCTGCGTACCCACGGCGCCCTGCTCGACAAGCTGCAGGACGCCCGCCTGGGCACCGTCCACCCCCGCCTGGGCGCCCTCAACGCCTCCCTGCTGCGCCTGCAGGGCGAGGTGCACAACCTCACGCGCCAGGACCTGGCAGGTACGGCCCCCGTGCCGCCGGGCATGGGGGGCAGGGCACCGGGGGGGCAGGAGACGAGGCACCATGGGGCTGCTGGGACAGCACCGGGATGAGCACTGGCCACTGCTCCAATTGGCCCTAGGTGGGGACTGGCTGGTTCAGGGGGTGGGACCCAGGGCTCCGATCCAGGTGGGGATGCTCGGGGGGATGGGGGGGACAAGGCTCCGATCCGGGTGGGGACGCTCAGGGGGGTGGGGTGGGACCCTGGGCTCCTACTGCCCCGGGGGGGGGGCAGCTCTGACTCTCTGGGTTCTGTTGCAGGCCCCCCCGGCCCACCTGGACCCGAAGGCCCCATGGGACCCCCAGGTGAGAAGCAGCCCTGCCCCACAGGGAGGAGAGTGGCTGGGTCCGTCGCAGGGTC